GTTTTCTGATTCTTAATTTATATATATATATATATATGGTGAGCTGTTTTCTCGGGTTTCGCTCCGTGTTAAACATTTTAACGAGTGTATTCGATAGGAATGAAAAAGAGGTTAATCAGCGGACACAACACGCAAAAATGGGTCAGAACCAAGGACACGTGTTGTGGTCTCAGTTAGGAGACCTAACATCATCAAAAATGGGACGAAACCGTGAACACGTGTTTCTGTCAATTGGCCTCATCAGCGTGATGCAGCTAAGTATAAGGATGGGCAACACTTTGGTGTAGGGAACATATCTACACATATGCACGGAGACATCAACAAGAGCCTACCGTACATTTGTGGTTTCAGTTAGGAGATCTTTCATTCATGGGCAACAACTAACATGACCACGTAGGCAACTATAGACATCTGGGTCTAGAATTTAAATACAGAAAGATGTTAACTAGTGTATTCGATATGAATAAAAAAGAGATGGATTAGCGGACATAAAACTCATAAATGAAGCGAAACTGCGGCACGTGTTTCTGGCTATTGATCTCATCAGCGCGGTGCAACCAAGTGTTTGCTGAAAACTACACATATGCAAAAGCCAATCGCACATTTGCGGTTTGATAGGCAACAACTAACATGACTACGTAGGCAACTATAGCTACCTGCGTGATACCAGAAATGGTACATATTTCTGACAGTAAAGAAAAAACATTAATGAACCTAAAGTTATTGTTACGTTTTCTCGTGGGTGTGAACTAATTGACTACACTCTACAAATGAACTTAACTTCATTTCACTGCTACACTGGCAATACAACACAAACACTTTAACTGAAACTTTAGACTAATACTCATCAAATGTCTCCCGTCTTATTAGATCACTTTGTACCACACGTTCAACTTGACTTGCCACATTTGCCTATTAGTAGCGTTTATATATCATAATGGATGTCTCTGGAAGCCCATAGGGAATTCGCTGGAAGCCTCCTGAAGCGATGCGTACATCTAGAACGATCGCGAAGCGCAAGTCGAGATGAGCGCGATCTTGGCCGAGTCACAATCGTCTGACAAAGACAAGCGGCGGGTGGCGTAATTTTTTCAGAGGATGAATTACAACATTATTAAAAATTGAAGTTCTTGTTATACATATATCATCTTCAGAAATGAAGAATATTGATCAAATATGAGCCACCAATGAAATTCTAGTGTTGATACATTGATTTCGAATTTAAAATTAAAATAAAATATTGTAACATGTCATCTTGTAAAAGTAAGGAAATTGTCTATGTCAATTTCATTTTGTCATTTTATGTCAGTCTTCATCATATTCACTGATTTGATTTTATTTCATGTTTGTAAATACATATTCATATTCAATATTTTCATATAATTATCAATTTATAGAAAGAGTTTTAATCATCCAACAGCTTCTAGCTGTAAAATCCTGTTCAACGCTGAAACTGTAAGTGCTGAGCCAGCCGCATGCAGTGCTTCTACACTGCATGCAAAGCAGTCATACTTCTGGTTTTTCGTCGTGGACGAACTTTTTATAATTTAAGTTCAATCGACGCACTTACTGCTTCAGTCAATAGACAGGGGCTGACTTTTCTATTGAAATAATGAGTGAATAAATATCGGAGTCATCGGTGAACTTATTTGATGAATTTGAGAACTCGAATGTTCTGAATGGTATGTAATATTAATTTCAAAAACTTCGTCATTGTGACCTCGACAACAGATATTTTATAATAAGACCAATTCTTAAATCCATTGGTTGATTCAATGGATTCATCTATTAATCCTTTCAAAACGTTAGCTCTTTTCTATTGGTTGAAGCAACAATTCAAAAATTTTCTGTTAAATTTTTGAACTCGCCTATATGTATAGTTACCCATCAAGATATAGTCGAACTCTTAAATTCATCGATCAGTCCACCGATTGATCCATTGGATTGGTGCATTCCAAATGTTACCACGTTTCTACTGGTTGAAGTTATCCATCGAGAATTTTTTGTTGGAGTCAAGAATATTCCTTACACTCGTTTCTTTTTTCATCGGGTAACTTACCGATGTAATTATATTGAAAGTGTTTGTTATTTATGTTTGTAAGTGGTGCTGTGATATAACTCAAAATATGGAGAATTTGCTAGTTTTTATGACAAATAAATATGTGAGAAACTTTTCTTTTGACAATAATAGCATCCCATCATTTGTCAACTCCGGACACCATTCCTTTTTTCACCAAAAAATAATCTTCATCGGATTCAAAGTAAACCAATCACTGACGTCATTTGGCAGCTTTTCCAATTAATCGGTGAAATTCATCAGATGAAAAAAGGCTCGATAGGTTAGGCTGGTTAGGCGGGATCTTTTTCATCTATTTGGTGATTTTTTGATTCTCCATTGGTAACACTGAACGTCGCTTGTTCATTGAATTGTAAATTGTAACAAAACAAATCAGTTGGTGATTTATTAATTTTTGTGTTTTGGTTTATCCAAATTCCTTTGTCTGAATGTGATGATAACAAATGAAACTTTAGATTTGGCTTTAACCACAATAAAGATAATTCTTCTGATATTAGAAGTTTCCAACTATGACTATACTGACAAGTTCTATTATCAGTTTTAGATTTTAGAGATGTCGACCATAACTACAAATGCTCCATCCTCTGCAGATGCTTGCTTGAGCATTGTTCATAGTTTGATGTGCCACAGACAAGGTGGTGAAAGTGAAGGTTTTGCTAAAAGAGCAATAGAATCCTTAGTTAAAAAATTGAAAGAAAAGAGAGATGAACTAGATTCTTTGATCACAGCTATTACTACTAGTGGTGCTCATCCTAGCAAATGTGTAACCATACAGAGGACACTGGATGGTCGTCTCCAAGTTGCAGGACGCAAAGGTAATTTTGAGTAGATCTCGATGTAGAATAAAAACACATTACTTTTCATTAGGTTTTCCACATGTAATATATGCCCGAATATGGCGATGGCCAGATCTTCATAAGAATGAACTCAAACATGTAAAATACTGCCAGTTTGCTTTTGACCTGAAGTGTGACTCAGTTTGTGTAAACCCATATCACTACGAAAGAGTAGTGTCACCTGGTATTGACCTATCTGGATTGACGTTACAATCTGGGGCACCAAGATTGGTGAAAGATGAATACACAGCAGGACCAGGTAGCAGTATGGATATAGAAGGGATTGAAGGTATCTCACAAACTATACAACATCATCCTCCACAGCAGAATTTCACCATCACTGGGCTACAAACTGCCCCTGCAAGTAAGCACTCTTCTGTTTCCACTTATTTCAAAATTATAAGTTTATTTCAACATTCTATCGAAGTAGATTCTAATTGTCATGTTGAAAAATAGATTTTTTTTAATCAAATGTACTGCATGTGAATTTTGTAATTTGTGTGGGTGAAAGTAAGATATATTTTTCATTTCTATCTATTAATCCATTTTTTAGACAACATAATGAATTTATTTTCTGTCTTTGTATTATTTCACATAGAACTCTTGAATTTTTTTCCAATTGTCATTTTTGGAAACTTATGGAATTTAATTAAATGAGTTGAAGGCATAATTGAGAAGTCTTTACCTTCTATGGGTCTGCAGATAACTCATTCTAAGCCAAGTTTTTGAAGCAAATGTGAAATGAGAAAATGTTTTCTCTATGTTCACTGCAAACAGGCAACTGCTTAGGTGAAACTAGCATATTATTATAGTACATAACGTGACCCTCTGAAATAACATATTCTGCCAAACCACAAGATCTTTTACTCAGACTACAGACTGGGTAAAAAATCTTGTAGTTTATCAGAACATGTACGTACACTGTACAACTTGCCAAATCTAACTGTGCCTCTGACCTCTGAGATGCGCCAATGATAAAGAAAGATGGCGACTGTCCACTACCAACTTTTATGAGGAAGTACAATCGGGAAAAGATAAATTTGGCAATCGTTGACAACTTACACATATACCAGTTGGGAACGGAAACCCTAATTCTTCCTTTTGTGCAGGTGGAAAATAATTGAAAGATAATAAGACTGTACGTACGATAATAATAATGTACGTATCTATTAATTGCAAATAATAGATACGTACATTCTCATCAGAGATAAATGAATTTAGAGTAAATAGATGAACTTACAGCCGATAATTGATAGATAATCAAATGCGTGGTTACTTGAAATGATTATGACACGTAGCAGGTAGATAATATACAAAACATTGCTTGCAATATTGATGATAACATACCACTATATACATAGATACAATTCATATAATATTTCCGAAGATTGGTTGCCTAAAAATTATATTATGATTTTTTGCCTAATTTTTTCGTCAGAAAATGTTTCAATTCCGGATATATTACCATCTTCATCGATGGTATGGTCACTCCAACCTTTTAGGTGCGTGTGTGGGTAGCGAACAAGGGCGGATCCAGGAGGGGTCATGTGACGGCTCTTCCAATGAAAGCCTTGGATAGGTCAATAAAAATAACCATACACTTCTTTTTGTTGTTGAAACTATTATGAATTTGATGAGACATCTTAATTAGGGCATCTTCTGTACCACATTTTTCTGTAAAATCATATTGACTTGATGAAAATAACATGCTTTTCTAAATAAATGCATGCAATTTAGTGCATTTTTCTATTACTTCACTTATGTTGTTTGTGAGAGCAATAGGGCGATAATTACTCACTATATCCTTTGGACCACTTTTGTAAATGGGGATAATTATTGTTTCTTTCAGATATATTATTTGAGATAATTTTTCCTATATTTGAATCACTGTTTTTAATTTATTTATATTTTTCATTTCACTACTAGAAAAATGTTTTAAAAACAGGCTATTATTTATATTTTTCTGCTCTTTTACTTTTAGTGTTTTTTAAAAATTTTCAAACTAACGTCTCTCCCACAGCGCTAAAATAGAATTATCTCAGAAGAATTAGCTTTGAGTTTTCTGTTGGTGTCTTAACAGAGAATTTTGTCATGATAACATCTCAGAATTGTCTTCTGAGGACAGCTGAGTTCAAACATAACATTCATAATACAACTGAATATCATTGATAAGATCTTTGATAGATTGATGGAATAAGATCACAAATATGGTGTTTTATGCACTGGGTTTATCTCAATAAGTTAAATTTCCTTTAGAAAAATCTCAAGAAATATTTAGGAAAAGTTCTTTCATTTAGAATGAAAATCAGAGACCGAGAGTTTGCAACACAAAAGCAGTGTGCAATTTTTTTTGGGTACTATTGGTTAAGTTTGGCGATAACTATTGAATCTACTTATATTTTTCTTTTTATTTTACTTCCATTTCTGTTACTATTTTACTATAATTTTGCTTTCAACGTTTTTAGTTAGGCATGTTTTTGTTTGGTTGTTACAATAGGTGATCCTGGATTATATAATTCAACGAACAGGCCTGTTTTGGGGTCGACAACAGTACCTAAAATTGAAAGTGGACAAGATACGTGTTCCAGAACGAACTGGGTACCCCATATGCATATGCATCGTAAGATAATATTTCTTTGGTATGGTTCATTTTGAAATGACAGTAAAAGTTGATATATTTTTTAGATTTTCCAATACAATTTAATTTACTTGAAAAACACATTTTTTAAAGACAATATGTGAGTAATTTAAGCCTCATATGACTGACCAGTTTTCAAAAAAATATTTTGTACAGAATGAATACAAAGATCTTCATAGGTGTATCTGACAAAAGACAGAGTTATTCAACCCAAATATCTTCAATAGTGATTGCTAAAAATAATAACAATCAGTTTGAGTGACTCTAAAAGTAACAAATTGTACTTAATAAACGAAAGATCGGCAGTCTTCTCTCTCTCTCTAGTTCTAAACTTATGATAATATATTAGGTCGGTGTCACTAAAAAAATGCTGACTTGAGCTTGGTGGACAAAATGAAAACTGATAAACACAGTGTTTTTACTTTCCACCCCAACAAGGAATTGTCACTAATAGTAATGTGCGGTTTTTGTGCCCATAAAATCAATTTATCAACAGGATGGCTCTTTATTGTGGTGTTAGCATTGTCACCCTCACTATCGCTACTCATCTATTGATCCCAATAGGAACCTAGCCCATTTTTCTACCATCTGCTTGATTTCTGAGGTTACCTGTGGTGTCAATCAATACTGTTGAAAAAATTCACCAATTCGTATCACTGATAATTCAGCATAATGAATTGTAAAGTTGTCGAAATCCAATTTCTTCCACAAAATTGAAGGGAAGGTTCTGCAGTGCAATCATTTGAAAAATCACTATTTCAAATAATTCACAATTAGAATTAGCTCATTTCTGATTGAGTGTTTTGAGGCACTGCAACTGAGGACTGGTTCTCATTTTCAGTTTTGAGTTTAATACATTCATTGTATTCAGTAACATGCTAAGACTCAAAATGACCTTTCAATGCATACGTTTTCCTGAATACATTTTTAAACAAATGTAACACTTTGCAGCATTAGCGTCAATGTAGGTCCTTATAACACTTTCTTTTGGCTTCATTATTTTGTCTTTGGATAAGATTGTTAAGAAAAATACTAAATAATAATATACTTCTCATAATTTCGGTGCACGACTCAAAAGTTCAATATCAGCTTGGAGCTTGTCGAATTAACAAAAGATATGAGCATGTGGAGATCATGACAAGGCAAAACTTGTTCTTCCCGTGGTCGCTAATTGTGTTTTGATCTTCATTATGATCTTCCATAAATTATCAGTGTCCAAGGTGCAATTAGAGGGTGAAATAATCAAATTCTAACCTTACTGCAACACAGAATTTTTGAATGTTTCAATAGAGATAAAAAAAGGATAGGGTCCTAACTTTTTGATCCTATTTTTCGAACTACCACATCTATATTGTATGCACATTTACATGCACATAATGACTTTTTTTCTGTTTTTTTTGACTAGTCCCTTAATTAACATCCTTCAAGAGCCCAGGATATTGAAAACGTCCTGAAGAGTAATAATAACTCAAATTGAGTTTGAATGCTCAGTAGTGTAGTCAAGTGTAGCATTAGGTGAATATAATAGTTGTATTGGCTCATTTTGAGACTATTTCATAATAAACAGATCTGCAGAGTTTGTGATATTTTAAATATTTTAGCATAAAAACCACATAATGATTACTCAAGAAATTCTATCAATGCTTTTTTTTGTATTAAAAAGAATGTCATGATGTTCATAGTCTATGGGCAAGTCAAGTTGAAAAGAGAGCATTATTGAAAGATGTTGAATTGTTTTGACTTGAACACAGTACGCGAACAATTCAGGGACAACCAACATTAAGTCCAGAAGAATATTACAAATATCCAATCAAGAACGTATATAAAAACTAGTACAGGGAATAAGATTGCTGGATTCAAGTAAAACTTTTTTGTGAGATTTTAACTGGACAGTGAAAATCTTAGTGTCACTATTTCCGGGTTTGAAGGCCGTGGATTTTTGGAGTTTCCTTCCGACGTTTCGCTGATGCGAGTGGCTAGCTTCCTCAAAGGTTTATACATCTGAGTTAATATCTCAGATGTATATGGATATTACGCGTATTTATGTTGACTCCTCAGGTAGTTTGGTGTGCTGATACCTGTACCTGGTTCAGTTAAATTAGGTAGAGCGTGTTTATCTTGATATAGGTAGTATGGTGTGATAATACCTGTACCTGGATTAGGTAAATTGTCCATAACGTTTGTTGACCGGTAGGTAGAAAAGGGTCAATGAACGTCATTGACAATTTACCAAATTCAGGTACAGGTACCTGACTACCTCTATCAAGATAAACACGATTTACATGATTTACTTGAGCTAGGTATAGGTATTAGCACACCAAACTACCTTATGACTCAACATAAATACGCGTTACACAGCCGTAATATCTAGTTATTGGAGATAAACTCAGGATGTATAAACCTCTGAGAAAGCTAGCCAATCGCGCCAGCGAAACGCCAGGAAGAAATTCAAAAATCTACGTCCTTCAAACTCGGAAAATAGTGAAACTGAAAGTAATTTACAATTTCATTGGGCAACAAGTATTATGTGAAAATCTCACAATGAACTGGTTTCAATATCCTTGAGCAACTGTTTTTTGAAATTCCCTGTTAATACTTTTGTCATTTTGAAGTGGTCCATACACCTTACATAAATACTTAGTAGATAGTGTAGTTGATTTCTTCCAATCAAAAAAAATCCTTCTTTCAAGTTTGTTTTTGATATTCAGAGTAAAATTTTAATTTTCCTAAAGTTTGGAAGGAGTTCAATGGAAAAACAAATTCTTTATTAACTTGTGCACTATGTTAATTCTTTCAGGTCAAAACCAAGTAACCTCCAGTAATATAACCAACCAACCGCAAACCGGAAGGTCAGGTACACCGATTCATGTGACATCATCGAGCAACCAATTCTATACGACCACCCAGCCTTCAGTAGTGTCGGATAGCAGATCTCAGGAAGCCATATCACAAAACCTAGGTAAATAAAATATGCGCCAACTAAGATGAGATTTTGATGCACATTTAAAACCAAATTGTACCCGCCCCCGAAGATAGTTGTTGGTCAAACTGATGTCAATAGTATATTGATGAAATATGATTTAAGTGGGCGGAGTCTTTCAACACAGAATAATTTTACGTTTCTGCGCTGACTCATCTTAGTTGGCGTGTACAATAGTAGGTTTGTGTTACGGAACTAGATCACTTACCAGAGATTATATTTCACAGCCAGTAATTCCCCGGTATCTCCTCATCTCCAGCAAAACGGTTTCAATACCACTCCGAACAACACAGTAGCTTCCAGCAATAATGGGACAGTTTCGGGTACGCAAGCAACACCTACTATTGGTCAAGCTTTACCTGGTGCTGGTGGTACGTGGACTGGCTCGAATACTTTAACCTATACACATTCAATGCAACCGCCTGAAAGAAATCACCATAATGCCTATTGTAAGTTAATAATGTTTGAGTGAATCCTTGCAGTTTTAGCATTCCACAAAATAAACAAGTCATCAATCAAAGGAGCTAATCAAAAATAGCTTTATTGTCCAAAAACAAATTCTCAGTATCAAAGCCTTTCACATTACTTTTCTCTTCAAAAATATAAAAGTAACAAAAAAACATATTTTTTACCTTCTTGTTTCAGTAAATTATAATGGTGTACAAATGTGCCTATTGTACTTTTTATTCATAGGTTTTCCTTAAAAGTCTAGGCAAATCTTATGGAGTGAGTCATTAAATTAATTCCCAGTATTACTTATTGTCTTATTCAACTATTGTTTTCTGATTCTTAATTTAAATTTTATTGGTTGTTGTAATAACTAATATTTATCTGTTTTCTACCTGTAATCCTTACAAAAAAGATCAAACAACTGGCTGTTTTACAATGCTACCTTTGTCACCGTTCATGGATGAAATTCCACATTTTTACATTTCTTAACTAACAAAGGCGTGTAAAAGCCTGGTGTCATACAGTGGGGGACTATATATTTCGGGAACTGGCAACACTAATGTCAATAAGTAAAATGTAGCAACAGCATAATAAAGTTTGACATTTTTTAGCATGAACGTACTCCCAACATTTTGACATACAAGTGTTTTTTGTTTTGTTTACAGTGAGTTAAGAAAACCAATTTGGCAAGAAAATGAAAATTACAAGAGAAGGTTTTTGTTGGATTATTTTTCACAACCTATTTTGAAGTGAATTATCTCAACAAGAATGTGTCGATGAACTCAGTTCTTTGCATGGCGATAAAGCACCATCAAAAACCTCAGTATATCGCGGCTATAGTGGTCGTAGTTCGGTCGCCGATGAATTCCGTGAAGGTCATTCTAAATCAGTTGTTGAGCCATATAACATCGATGCAGTGCGTGATCTGATAATGTAAGATCGTCATCAGACATATTGTGAGATAAAGGCATCTTTGAAAATTATTTCCACTTCAATACATTCAATTTTGCATGAACACTCAGTTGTAAAAAATGGTTTTCGTTGGATACCCCATACTTTATCAATCGCTCAAAAAAATGATCGCGTCAAGTGGTATAAGAAAATGATTAAAAAGTTCGACTGTGGTGCTTCAAAAGACATGTATAAAATCGTGACAGGTGACGAATTATGGATATATGAGTATTAGCCGGAAACAAAACAGCAATCGACTATGTGGGAATTCCAAGACGAACTAAATTTAACAAAGTTGTTTGTGGAAGAAGCACAGCGAAGCAAATGGTCGCCTGTTTCTTCGGCCGAATGGGTCATGTGGCCACTGTTTCGCTTGAGCAATGTAGAACAGTCAATTCTGAGTGATACACGACTATTTGTTTGCCGGAAGTCTTTGGAGAAATTCGTAAAAGTAACTGCCGAAGACGAATCATTCTCCATCATGAAAATGCGAGCTCTCACACATCTCGTCAAACAGGTGAATTTTTTAGCAGTCGAAACATCGAATTGATGACTCATCCTCCGTACAGTCCTGATTTGGCACCTAATGACTTCTTCTTGTTCCTGAATATCAAAGGTAAACTGTGTGGTAAACAATTTACGAGCATCGAAGAAGTAGTTGAAGCGTTCAAAAACCATGTTCTGGAGGTGTCTTAAGAGGAATGGAAAAAGTGCTTTGACAAATGGTTTGAACGAATGCAAAAGTATATTGATTATCAAGGGAAATATTTTGAAAAATAAGAGCTATTCTCATTTGAAAATGTTTGTTATTGTTTGCTATTTCCGAAATATAAATAGTACCACTCATATACTGATCTCAACAATTTCAAGAATTACTCACTTATTCTGTGGTCCTCCTCTGAAACATTTTTATTTATTTATTTATGTATATGGGAAATCCACATGAGCAAAAATGAATAATACAAATACAGTAATTCCTTAAAACTAACTTAACCTTAAGGTATGTATAAGTGTATCAATGTAAATATATAAAATTTGAATGATATAAACTTAAAATCATCATTCTAGCTGGTTATATATTAAATTATGTTGCTACACTGTTTTTTGAAAGTATTCAGTTGAATTCCTATTATGTCACAATTAAGACGGTTGGCTTTTTGCATAAATCTTGACATGGGTGAGAAGTATTCATAGTTAGTATGGTGATCAGGAACAGCAAAAAGATTATCGTTCCTATTTGAATGAACAGGTACTTGAAATGAGACTTCATGTAATAGATCATTACAATTAATGTCACCTGATATAGTTTTGACTTTTGAGAGGGGGGCGACAGTTGGTTAAAGAAAACAGATTTTAACAGATTTTTCAACAGATCACATCAGTAAGAGTTGCTTGAAATTGTTGAGAGCGATTCACAACGCCTTTGTTAGTACACATCGGAAAATGTGGAATGGTATCTATTGACAGCGACAAGTCTCAGTTCAAAAGCTCATTGTTTACATGTGAATATTATGTAAATATCATGTATGAATATTATGTATGAGAACAGGTTGCCATTAAAAGTCAAATTAGGAATCAGAATTAGGAACTAATCAGCGTTGTATTGGAATCTCACTCCCCCAAGTACAAAGTTTCTGCATTCGTCCCAAAATTTGTTTTCGAAAAAGCTTTGTTTATTAAGGAGGAAGGTCTGTAAACCTGCAAAACTCTCATTAGGTCTAATTAGTCAGTAACTTGATGAATGAAGTGAATGATTGGGACTTTTTTATATGGATAAAATCGAAACTGTTTTGAAAGTAAATATACATATTTCCAATCGAGGCATTTTCCACAAACGAAATGTTAACTATTTCAAGAAAGTTAGGTATATGACTATCAAGGTTGCAAGTGATGTTCATGTCTCCAATCAGACGGATGGCTTTTTTCTGGATGGAATCCAGCAGCTTCAGGGTATGCTTAAAGGCGGAGCTCCATACATTAGAACAATACTCTAAAGAAGGTCTGATCTGAGCTTTATGAAGCATCAAAAGTTGCTGGTGAGCAGTCTTTGCAATTACAGCGACATGATTGTGCCAAGACATATTGGTGTCTATTTCAACCCCCAACAAAGTTATCAAAGCAGAAAGCGGAGTTATGTATCCTGACATTATTATATCCGATTCAGAGACATTTATCTTTATGGAGACAACCGACACCTTGATTTTTGGGGTATTGAAATGAACCTGGTTACTTTCACCCCAATCCGAAATAACCTCTAGATCCTCATTAAGATATGCAACCTTCTGCTGCCGGTGAAGATGTGTGTCCACAGTCGATGTCCTGGGATCCAAATGTAATGACGAGATAAGTGTGCTGTCGTCAGCAAAGCAATATATATTGGATCCTTGGCTTTATCCAATAAGTCATTGATATACAATAAAAAGTGGGTTGGAGACAATATGGATCCCTGGGGAACACCAGCGTTGACGGTGATAGTATTCGAGAGATATCCATCGACGGCCACTTGCAGGGAACGTTCTTTCAGGAAGCTGAAGAGCCACACACAAAAATGATCCGACAAGGCATAGCATCAAAGTTTGGCCAGCAAACCCTCATGCCACACACTGTCAAAGTGACATACGATAGAAGGTCGCCTGTTGATCTTTGTTTCCGAAAACCATATTGATGATCACTCAAGATGTTGAAGCCTTCCAAATATTTGAGGATATGCTGGTTTGCGGCTTTCACCATGATTTTTGATATCACCGAAAACAAAGTGACTGGTCTATAGTTATTTGAAAGATTTTTCTTGCCCTCGGGCAATTTTCCAACAGGAAAGAAAAACCCCTTTCTTGTAAGACAGGTTGAAAAGTCTGCAAGATACTGGTGCGAGTTCATTGCCGCACTTTTTAAGTATGATGACTGGCACTTCATCAGGACCAAACGTTTTGTTGATATATGCGTCCATGGATGATAGAATAACTTTCGTGAGTTCAAAAGCACAAGTTGATGTATCATTACAGCAGATATGTAATGCCAAACTTTGCGCGGCTTAGATTGTTCTGAACATTTATCGGTAGGTCACTCAACACTGAAATGAGTTTTTGGTCAGAAGATCCCAACGGAGACCTTACAGTGACTGTGTAAATTTCTGGATTGACTGATGAGTATAAATCCAGAAAACTAGCATATTCTCCATCACAGTCAGGAATCCTGGTTGGCTCATTTATATTCTGAATAAATGCGTTGTTTATTGCATTGAAAATTTTCCTCAGCAGAATGTCTATCATGTCATTATATTATATCACTTGCTGTTTTTGTCAGAAAACGTTTAACTAACAACAGTAATAGGAAGAGTGAATCAATTTTACTGCGTCTATTATTATTGAGGTGATGTGCCATGAATTACAGTGGGTCTTTCAAAATTGTTTTGAATACTTTTTTGATTTCATCGTTTAGAAGTTTTGAGTAGGAATTTGAAAATTGATTGAATTTTGGTGAATTGTTTTTTATTTTATTTTTTAATCTTCTTTGCGTTTTTGTCCCTCCCTCCTTTCAACGATGGTGCAAGTTTCAAATGATGGGGTAAAATGTCGTTTTAAAGCTCTTAAAATTTGCAGAGTCATTAAATATCAATATTACTTTATTTCCAAAAAGTACAGAGGTACAGGATCCATCACATAAACAGAAGGTAAAAAATTTAGCTGATAATACAATTGAAGGTTGGTACAGAAGTGGGTATTATTACAATCACTTTCACTAAATAATACAAATCAGTTGTTGTACAGAAGAGATGAGTAATCTCACCCTCACACCAGTCCAACAAACTTACAATAGTCGTCTCAATTATAAAAAGGATTATTTCTTTGTATATTATTCTAATCTCTTCTGAATTTCATAAGTGGAAGAATATGTATTATGGTAGTATGTATATTGAATAGGCTGATTCAAATATCCCTTGATTCGTTCACGAAACATTGGTTTACAGGAGTCCATGTAGTGTGCACCCTTGATACTATTCACAGCTCTTTTCTGTATTATAAATAGTTTATTCAAATGACAAAGCGCTGCAGTACCCCATATAGTTGAACCGTATTGTAGATGTGACTTGAATAATGCATAGCATGCAGTTAAATTTGCTGACTGATTTACAAGCTATCAAGTTTTTTTGATAGCAAATGTAGCAGTAGTCGATTTCGATGTAATGTGACGTTTATGTATATTTCAGGTAAGTGTCCCGTCAATTTCCATTCCTAAAAGCCTGGTGAATTTTTCATTAGCACGAACACTTTGTATCAGACATTATTGTTCTAGTTTTGCTTTCATTTATTATGAGTTGCTTTACTGTAAACCACTCCTTTGCATTCTTCATAATCTTTTCAAGAGTTGTACATGGTTGTACTTGGTTCTTACTTCGGTGGAGACCTATTCCTATTATGATGTCATATGCGAACATTACTGTTACAATATTGGGATTATTATATTATTAATATAGATAATGGAGACAAGAGGGATATGGACTGTCCCCTGGTGCATGCCTTTTATGATTGCAACTCTTTGCTCATCATTTGTCTCTTGTTAGACAGGGATGATTGTATTAGTTGAACACCAACGCTGCCGCATATGCCATAAAATTCGAGCTTCTCGAAAAAAAATCATAGAAGGTAGTCAAAGAAACAGCTAAAATCAGTAATAATTCCTAAAAATGTTTCATTCCAGTCAAAAGTGGGTTTTATGGAATATCAGTTTTTAGTTTTATGACACCTGTGGTAAAATATTTTTTTTTTAAACCGAAGTGCTGATAATTTATAGCATTATGCTCATCTAGGTAGCTTGTGAATTGGTTATAGAGTTTCAATAATTTTAGAAAAAACTGGTAGAACTGATATTTGCCTATGTCGAGGACACTCGTTCATAATTTTTGGTTTGAAACTTTCAAAGACGCTGGTTGTGCTTAATAGATTTTCTTTTCTAAGTGTCCACACAAAAATAAACCAACGGGCTACAAATCTGGTGACCAATCCAGTATTGTGGAGAATGTTGATAGGAATCACAGTGTGATGTTCATTTTTCATGTTTCAACAAGACGGTGCTCTTCCAGATCATGCCCTGTTTGTTTTTCAGTATTTAGACCAACATTTTCCGAGGCACTCGATTGGGCAGAGAAACAGCTTTAAATGATATCCACAGTCGCCAGGTTTGTCAAACTTTGATTTCTTTTTGTGGGGATACCTTAAAATTTACAATACAAAACCATGGTATTGAGATGAATTGGGGAAAAATTATTGATGAGGTCAATCAAGTATTAATTCAATACCTAAACAGATTCAAATTTTGAAATGTATTTTTCTACTAAACTAATAAACAAGACATTATAGCAAACAAAATTTCAAAGGCTTTTAATGTAATTCAAATATTTTGGGGGTAATTGTTACCTTCGCTTGAGGGATGGAAGTGACAGAGTCACAAATACCGGAAGAGAGCGTTTCTCTACAATCAAGAATCGACGGGCTTCTGTATTTTCATAAAATGTTGACCTAGTCCCTGACACTGGTTCTGTTTTTTTTTCGTTTATCTACCCTGTATATTCATTCAAAATAGCCACATAATTCTCTCGTTCATCTTTATTTTTATACTAATCTGAATATTGTTTTTGTTCAGCTGCTTAGGTTTTTTGGTCATCGCACGTTTTTCAATAGTTTTTGTTTTGTGGCAGTTCCATGTCATTTAGATATATCTATATATACATATATATTAGTATTATTTCAGATATGCACTTTTATTGTAGTAAATTGCAAATGTTTATTCGTTAATAGCATTTTCCAAGTTCACAGTTTTATTCTTTATTTTTTCAATGTATAATGTTCATCTTCGTTGTCGAAATTTCTGTCTATTATACCAATGGTGAACTACAGTGACTTTTTCCATTTGATTTCTTCAATTGAATAATTGTTCTGATCTTCCATTATTACTGTTTTTCTAGTTCACCATCATCATGAGTCAGACTGAGACTCTGATTTTGTATGCAGGTATGCATTGAATATATTTATTTTTTATTTGGATTGTTTTTTTGCAATACTGAAAATGACCTTCATTTTTATTATCTTATTCTAAGTTGTAATCTATCAGATTGTATATAGTAAGTAGTTTATTTCACCAAGCTATGTTGTTACAATCTACAGGGTGTTTCCTAACTATGTTACGAAACTTCAGAGGGTTACTCGTTAGGTTGTTTTAAGAAAAAAAGTTTTTATGAACATATGTCCGGAGTTGCTTCATTTCTGAGATACATGGCGTTGAAGTTAAAAAAAAAAAACAAAACAAACACTATTGAAAAACGTGCGATGACCAAAAAACAGTAGCAGCATAAAATTTGGCATATGGATATAAAATTGCCGTAGACACAACTTTTTCAAGTAACTTTTTTTTAAATTCGATTTAGAAATGCACTTTTTCAATTTTTTTTTTTAAAAAGTTGAATTTGACAAACACTGAACGTCAGTGGGTCGCAGTTGGCCGCATCTTTTTAAGTTAAATTTAAAGCACAAACAAGTGCCGAAGTTAAACTTCATTGAA